ATTCCTTCTATCTGACATGACTTACAAGTCATGAACTTCCAGACAAAAAGGCAATATAAAATTAAGAAAAATAAAATCTATAAGGAAAGTTCATACTTCAGAAAAGCCTTGGAAGAGAAAAGAACATAGGGGAAATATGTCAAAGAAATGGCTGAGGGGCCTCCGTGGTAGTACATGATGCAGCACTATGGAGCTATCCACAGCCATTGCAGCACAACTTCAGTCAGAGACCAGGGAGCTGGCCCATATGGCGTAGCAGACCTCCCTTGCTCACCATTGCTCCCCTCAGCCACGTATTTCATTCAATCCACCTGTTCTGTTCCCCAATCTTTCTCTGGTGAATCCTCTCACTCCCACACCTCTATTCTTGTATGCATAAATTAATAAATCTTTAAAAAGAAATAATGACTGAGATCATTCCAACATTAGAAAAAGCAGTTCTTAGGAAGTAACATCTAGCTTTAAAAATATTAATCAGAATTGGTAATATGATCCCCCCAGGAGAATGACACTTTTTTTTTTTTTAAAGATTTATTTATTTGTGCATACAGAACCTGGGTACAGGCCAGAGGCTCAGGGGCGGCGAGAAGCTTCACCAGAGACAGAGCGGGGAGCAGAACAGGCAGATTTATGAAGCACACTGCTGAGGGGAGCAGCGAGCGGGTCAGGAGAGGTCTGCCAAGCCATGTGGTCATCTCCGGGGCAGGCGGGAATCGAACTCATGCGGAAGCGGCTTTAGATTCTCAGTGCTGCGCTTCAACCCGCTGCGCCACCAGGGAGGGCCAGAATGGCACTTTTTTTAATGATTTATTTACTTATGCGTATAAGAACTGGTGAACAGGCCAGAGGTGTGGGGGTGAGGGGTGAAAGGATTCACCAGAGACAGAGCATGGAACAGAACAGGCTGATTGACTAAAACACACTGCTGAGGGGAGAAATGGGGAGACAGGAGAGGTGTCTCTAGCTGGGAATCCAACTTGTGCTGCAGAAAAACTTCACAGTACTGCACCTTAACCTGTTGCACCACCAGGGAGAGCCAGTATGGCACTTTTTATGCCATAATGTTTGGTCATCAAATTATTGCTCAGGGTCCTTGGCCCAGAGCTCAAGGTGTACACCGCAGTGTTAACACTAGCTTGGGGATTTCTGGAAGCTTGTTTGGCCCTGTTTGATCTCTTTCCAATGTTCCTGCTGTTTTGGCATCCTCATCAATTGGAAGAAGCAGGCAGGGTAGACCCAGTCAGTGGGTTACTATAGCTGCACATTAAATGGGAGCCCGTTGGGATTAACACTACCTCTATTGAAAAAACTGCAAATTTTGCTTTAAGAACTCTGTGTTACTTCACCATTGGGTATATTAGCCATGGACTTTTCATGACTTTTATCCTACTGTGCTAATTCCCTTCTATTCCTTGCTAATTAAAAGTTTTGATCATGAAAGGATGGTGGATTTTTTTAAATGCTGCTTCTACATCAACTGAGATGACTTTTCCCCATCATCCTATTAATGGTTATGTACGTTTTCATGCTGATCCATTGTTTTATTCACATAAGTGAGTTCCACTTGGTTCTACAGTATAATCCTTATAATATGCTCTTGAATTCAACTTGTTAATATTTTGTTGAGTATTTCTTATCTCTGTTCACAAGATATGTAAGTCTATATTTTTATTGTAGTGTCTTTGGCTATGATCTCCTAGAATGGACTATTTTATAAGACTTCTATTAATTCTTTACATGTTGAGCAGAAATCAGCAGCAAAGCCTCCTAATCCTGAGCATTATTGTTGAGAAGGTATGATTATTGATTCAGTCTCCTACTGATTTATTCAGATTTCTTATTGCATTTTGTATTAGCTTTGATAGTAAGTATCCACAATTATTTTCATTTTTCGAGGTCTAGGCATAAAGCTGCTCATATTTTATTTATGGAATGGCAGTAATATTTTTCATATCTGCTCTGAATAACTTGAGTCTTAAAATCTAATTAGCCAAAGTTTATAAACTAGTTCATATTTTCAAAACACGAACTTCTAGTTTTATTAATTTCATTTTATCTGCTATAATGATTATTTCCTCCATTTCCTAACTTTGGATCTAATTTACATTTTCTAGTTTTTCAAAGTGTAAATTAGATTGTTGATTTGAGATCTTTCTAAATGTAGGTATATAGTGCTATGTAAGTTTTCCTATGTGTACTGTTCCCACTAGATTACAGAAGTTTTTGTACTTATATTACATGTTGTATTTTTTTAAATTCCAAATGTTTTCTGACTTCTCTTGTGATCTGTTCTTTATCTATTGCTTATTTAAAGTGTTAGATTCTACATGTGTGCAATTTTTTACTTTTCTTTACCATTCTATTGCTATCTTTCTATTAGTTCTATTGATTTCTTCATTCCATTGTGATCAGATACTTTGCATAATTTCAATCTTTTAAAATTTATTGAGACTTCCTTTGTAATCTAGAAGGGTTGTTTGTCCTGGACAATCTTAGGTGCACCTGATGAGAAGGTATACTCTTGTTTGATATTCTCTAAGTTTCTGTTAGATCTAACTGGTTCATAAATATTAAAGTTGTCTATTTCCTATACCTTCTGTCTTCTCTCAATTATTGAAGATGGAATTTCAAAGCTTAAATATTGTGGAACTACTTTTTCTTCAATACTTTATGTATTTTGGAGCCCTATATTCCAACCTGATGGACTGATACTTGTTAGTTTGTAATAATTTCACTGTCTCTTGGAATTGTTTCAGATATATACTTTTTACTTCGATATTTAATTTTTTAATGGGCATATTTTCATTTTATAATGGAAAAAAGTCAGGAAAAGAAAAAAAATGTCCATTCATATTTACAATGCAGGACTTTCTATAAGATATCAGCTTAGTCTCTCCAAAAAAATAAGTCTCAGAACTATCACTGTAACAAGTCCCAAGCCAGGCAGTTGACCC